CCCTCCTTGTCACCGCTGTCCCCCTGTGCCACGAGAACGGGCTCAGCTCAGCCCCCGGCAGCTGCTGCGGGACCTGGGGGACAGGGACCACCCCAAATACACCCGGTGTCACCTCCACAGCCCCAAACGCACTCAGCTCAGCCTCTACCAGCTGCTATACACCCGGTGTCACCTCCACAGCCCCAAATACACCCGGTGTCACCTCCACAGCCCCAAATACACCCGGTGTCACCTCCACAGCCCCAAATACACCCGGTGTCACCTCCACAGCCCCAAATACACCCGGTGTCACCTCTACAACCTCAAATACACCCGGTGTCACCTCCACAGCCCCAAATACACCCGGTGTCACCTCCACAGCCCCAAATACACCCGGTGCCACCTCCACAGTCCCAAATCCTGGCCGGCATTGGGGTCACCGGGCTGGGAGAGCTCCGCGCCCCCCGTCGCGGTGTCCCGGGCGGTTTTGGGGGTCCCGGTGACCCGGGGGGCCCCGAGGGGTGGCGGGCACCCCGCACCTCCCGCTAATGGCATCACACAGCTCGTTAGGCAAAAATGGGGCGCGGGCGAAACCGGGTGCGGGGAGGCGCTGGGAAGGGCGGGGGGCTCGGGGCTGCCGGGGGGGCCGTGCCAGCCCCACCGGGCTATAAATGCCCGCAGCGCCCGGGCTGAGGCACCGCGACTCCTCGGGGAGCTGATCCGCGCTGAGCCGGTGAGTCCCTGCTCCCCGCAGCACCCCAAAACCCGCCCGGGGAGGTGCTGAGGGTGTCCCCGCTGTGTCCCCAGGCTGGCCATGGCGTGTCCCCTGGAGCAGGCGCTGGCCGTGATGGTCACCACCTTCCACAAGTACTCGGGCAAGGAGGGCGACAAGTACAAGCTGAGCAAGGCGGAGCTGAAGGAGCTGCTGAACAAGGAGCTGCCCGTCTTCGGGAGCGTGAGTGGCCGCGGGGACACCCCCGGGGACACCCCCGGGGACACCCCCGGCCCGGGGGGGGGGGTCTCTGAAATTCCCCGAGTGGAATCTGATGGGTTCATCCCACGTGGATGGGGAGGGACGAGGGCCCGAGGGGCTCAGCTGGGGCAGGCGCAGCCCCAAATGAAATTAGTTGTTTTGTTTTTTATTTTTATTTTTAAACCCACAAAAATATTTTGTTCGGGAAAGGAAATCACGCCCCGATTTCCATTTATTTTTTTTTATCATATTTTTTTTTTTAACCCCCACTTCCCTTTCTTTGGCTTGTGGTTTCAACCGGGAGGCGATTTTTAAATTTTTTTTTTACATTTTTGGCCAAATTTTCCCACATCCGGGAGGATCTTTGGGCACTGCCGAGGACTCCTCCTCCCAGAGGCGAAGGGAAAACCCTCCCTGGGGCTGGGCAGGGGGGTGGGAAGGGGCAGCCCCTCACCCCAAACCCTCTCCCCTGGCAGAAACAAATGGACGAGGCCGAGTTCAAGCGGCTGGTGAACGACCTGGACCACAACAAGGACAACGAGGTGGATTTCAAGGAGTACGTTTGTTTCCTGGCCTGCATCACCATGGGCTTCAACGAGTTCTTCAAGGACGACCCCAGCAAGCAGCACCGCAGGAAGTGAGGCTGCAGGCCGGAGCTCTCAATAAAAGCTTTTCCCCGATCCCGCCTGAGTTCTGGGGTCTCTTCTCAGTCTGAGTTCTGGGGGTTCTGTTCAGGTTCTGCCCAATCCCAGTCTGAGTTTGGGGGGTTCTGTTCAATTTTTGCCCAATTCCGGTTGAGTTCCAGGGTTCTGTTCAGGTTCTCCCCAATCTCAGCTGGGTTCTGGGGTTCTGTTCAGGTTCTCCCCAGTCCCAGCTGGGTTCTGGGGTTCTGTTCAGGTTCTCCCCGCTCCCAGCTGGGTTCTGGGGTTCTGTTCAGGTTCTCCCCACTCCCAGCTGGGTTCTGGGGTTCTGTTCAGGTTCTCCCCACTCCCAGCTGGGTTCTGGGGTTCTGTTCAGGTTCTCCCCAATCTCAGCTGGGTTCTGGGGTTCTGTTCAGGTTCTCCCCGCTCCCAGCTGGGTTCTGGGGTTCTGTTCAGGTTCTCCCCGCTCCCAGCTGGGTTCTGGGGTTCTGTTCAGGTTCTCCCCACTCCCAGCTGGGTTCTGGGGTTCTGTTCAGGTTCTCCCCACTCCCAGCTGGGTTCTGGGGTTCTGTTCAGGTTCTCCCCACTCCCAGCTGGGTTCTGGGGTTCTGTTCAGGTTCTTCCCAATCTCAGCTGGGTTCTGGGGTTCTGTTCAGGTTCTCCCCAATCTCAGCTGGGTTCTGGGGTTCTGTTCAGGTTCTCCCCGCTCCCAGCTGGGTTCTGGGGTTCTGTTCAGGTTCTCCCCACTCCCAGCTGGGTTCTGGGGGTTCTGTTCAGGTTCTCCCCGCTCCCAGCTGGGTTCTGGGGTTCTGTTCAGGTTCTCCCCAATCTCAGCTGGGTTCTGGGGTTCTGTTCAGGTTCTCCCCGCTCCCAGCTGGGTTCTGGGGGTTCTGTTCAGGTTCTCCCCGCTCTCATCTGGGTTCTGGGGGTTCTGTTCAGGTTCTCCCCGCTCCCAGCTGGGTTCCAGGCAGCGGGCACAGGGTGACTCACCCCTTCCTCCATCTCCGTGGGTTTTTCCACTGCTCGGCTCAGCCCCAGGAGGCGTTTTTTGTCTCTTTTTTTGGAGAAGTTTGAGCAAAAACAACTCTTGGACATTCCTCCCCCAGCCCGAATGTTCTGGGGAGGGTTCGGGGCGCTTCAGGCCAGCACAGAGAGGATTCGGGTGGCCACGAGGTGCCCTGGGTGACACCTCGGGGCTGGGGGGACACGAAGGCACAGGGTGTCCCCGGTGCCAGCATCCCCCGGGATTTGGGAGCTCCCCCGCTCCCAGCAGCTCCGGGCAGCTCGGGGCAGCTTTGGGAAACCCTCAGCTGCTCTCCGGCTTTCCAGAGAAACAATCCCGAGTGTAAAACCCCCCCAAAAGCGGGGCAGAGCTGCCAGACCCCGTCCCCAAATCCTCCAGGTCTTTCCCGAGCCCTTCCAGGTCCTTCCAGGAGCTCCAAACTTTCCCCAGCCCCTTTATAAAGAGTCCCCGGAGCTTCTGCCCTTCCCAGTAACTCCCACAAATTCCCACTCGCTTAATGGAGTGACGAGCTTCAACCTCGGGCGCTTCTCCTGCCAAAACGTACAGACCCCCGCCCCGAGCTGGGGAGGCACCGAGGGGGGCTTGGTGAGCTCCCAAATCCCCCCGAGGGTGGGAGTTTTGTCCCCGTTTTTGTCGCTCGGGTCCCTGCGGTGGCTGAGGGACACTCGGGGCTGGAAGGAGCCGGTTCCCGGCGCTCCCCGCAGCTCCCGCACTCGTGCCCGGGCCACGCCGCCACCGAAACAGCTCCGTTACACAACGGGGAGCGGCGACGGGAAACAGAAATCGCTGCCAGGCGACTGGAAAACAGAAAAAAAAACCTCGTCTCGACACCACCCCCGCGGCCGAGCCCCGCTGGCTCCCGGACATCCCTGGGGATGCTGCCAGAAGCGGCGCGGGTGGCACCTGGCAGCGCCACCTGCCCCGAATCCCGAGGGATTCTCCCGGCCCAGGTGGTCCCTGGCCAGCCCCACGGGCACGTTTTGCTCCTCCTCACCCAGCCCGGCCCCCGTGGCAGCTCCCGGGGTTTCCTTTCTCCTCCTTTTCTCCTTTCCCAGCCGTGTCCGGGCGGGCTGGGGAGCGGCGGTGCCGCCCCGGCCGGGTGTGTCCAGGCCGGGCTATAAATGCCAGGGCCTGGCTCCGGCTCCCCTTCCTCCCTCCCGTCCTCCCGTGTCCCGTCCGAGCTCTCGGTGAGTCCGTTCGCCCCCTCTCTCCCCTCTCCAGATGTTCTCCAGATGTTGCCGCATCCCCCCGGCAGGGAGCGGGAGGTTCCCGCTGGGAATTCGGATTTCACCTGCCAGGGCTGGAAAAGCTCCTGAGCTCCTTCCCTGCCCGAGGGGGCTGCGGCCTCCCCGCTTTTCCCTCTGTTCGGGAGGTGTCCCAGCCCGGCCGGAGGGGGAAGGGAGAACCGGGGAGGGAACCGGGGAGAGAACCGAGGAGGGGGAACCGGGGGAAACCGGGGAGGAACCGGGGAGGGAACCGGGGGGGAACCGGGGAGGAACCGGGGAGGGAACCGGGGGGGAACCAGGGCGCATCCCGGGATGTGCTGGGGGCTGGGAGGGGCCGGAGGATTCCAAACTCCCGAGTCCCGTCCCTGTGTCCCCAGGCTTGCCGCTGTCGCCATGGAGTGTCCCCTGGAGCAGGCGCTGGCCGTGATGGTCGCCACCTTCCACAAGTACTCGGGCAAGGAGGGCGACAAGTACAAGCTGAGCAAGGCGGAGCTGAAGGAGCTGCTCCTGAAGGAGCTGCCGAGCTTCAGCGTAAGCGCCGCATCCCCAGGGAATCCCGGAAATCCCGGGAATTCCGGGACGCGCAAACCACGAGTTTAACGCCCCGTTTTTCCCTCCCCCCCGGGCAGAAACAAACCAGCGAGGCGAGTTTACAGAAGCTCATGAGCAACCTGGACAGCAACAGCGACAGCGAGGTGGATTTCCAGGAGTACGTGACCTTCCTGGCCTGCATGGCCATGATGTGCAACGACTTCTTCCAGGACCTGCCCGACAAGATGCCGCGCAGGAAGTGAGGGCAGGGCCCTGTCACCGCTCTCTGGGACCTTCCCGTTGTCCTCCCGATGACATTTCAATAAATTTTGATTCAAACGAAGCGTTTTGTGCCCGTCTCTCCCCGGGGCGCGGGCGTTGTCGCTGGGGGAAGCCCCCGCTCGCCCTCCGCCGGGCCGGGAGCGATCCCGGGCTGGGTCTGGCTCTGCCCCGGGGCGGATTCTGCGTTCCCCGAGGCCTCTCGAGCCGCCCCCGGGGCCGCTCCCCGGCAGCCACGCCGGGCTGACTCAGCCGTGCCCCGCCGCTCCTGCCCTGCGCTCCCGGGAGCTGCTGATCCCCGCCGGGACGGGCGGCCGGGGAGCGGCCGGGGCTGGGATCGCGGTGAGCGGTGATCGGGGTCTGTCCCTCAGCTGTCGCCGTGGCAGGCGGGACCCTCGCCCCCTCCCCAGCCCCGGTGCCGCGGGGTTTCGGCCGCGTTCCTGCCCGGGGCGCGGTTGTGCGGAGCAGCCGCTTCCCGGTGCTCCGGGCTTGGGGCACAGCCCTGACGTGATGACGGAGCTTTTGCAATCCCTGTGATCCCGGGATTCTAAGGTTTAGGAAAAAACCCAAATCCATCCCTCCAGGCTCAGTGGATCCCCAGAGCACGGGGCTGCAGCGCTGTCTGGGCACGCGGTTTCCGGGGGATTTGGGGGATTTGGGGCAGCAAATGGCAGCAGGAGGAGCCACAGTGAGCGCCTGTCCCTCCCTCCCTCCCCAGCCACCCCTCTCTGTCCTCACGGCTCACAGGTGTCCCTGTCCCCTCTCTGTCCCCATGGCTCACAGGTGTCCGTGTCCCCTCTCTGTCCCCATGGCTCACAGGTGTCCCTGTCCCCTCTCTGTCCCCACGGCTCACAGGTGTCCGTGTCCCCCCTCTTCCCCC